GTCTGAAGTCTGAGAGGGTTATTCCTCCAGCTTTTTTGTTTTTTTAATAAAAATAAATTAAGCCTATAAGACTCTTAGAGGTTACAAAATGGTGGCTTCTGGCCTAATTAGACATGCTATGTTTTGTTTGGCTCATAGAATTTTTAACAAATTTGAACAAACATTTAAAAATCAGGAGATGCCACCGTAAAAATTCAGATTTCATTATCTTAAATAGAAGATCTAGCAGAGCTGGGCAACAAGGACCTATGGCTCTGTATATGGGGCAGGGTGTGTCCAGTGTCCCATAACCCCTACAACTCAAGTAAACACTTACCTCACCAGTTTTTCCGTTTGCATTGTCAGCCTAGCTGTAAATTTGAGTTTGTGACCTGTGAGCTAGCACCTCTCTACTGCTTCAATTTGGCACCATCCTCACCCTGACCTTGGTCAGTTCCTGGTGGACCCTGCCAAGCTGTTTCCTTCTTCAATACTCTGTACTTGCTGTTTCCTCTGCTTGGAAGGCTCTCTTCTTCCCCTCCTTCCTTCCAATTCACTTTTGACTGGTTCATACTTGAGCTTAAATGCTACCTGCCCAGAGGAATCTTCCCCCATTACCTTATCCAAAGCAACCTATTTTTGTCATTTTATTCATTACAAGTCGCCATACTTTCATTTGTTTGCATTTGTTTGTTTGTTTGTTTCCCACATACAGGTTCCTAAAGGGAAAGAATCATATCTGTTTTGAATGTGGTTATTTCTTTAGCCGCTCGCCTCATGCCCAAGACATATAGGCAGTCAAATATTGGCAAATGTTGTGAAAGGGACAGCAGGCATTGCTAATAATTAGAAGGGGTGAGTTCTGGTTCTAGCATGGTCATCCTGGGCTACACTTGATCTTATGTGTAAAACTAGTAAGATTGCTTCTGAACCTATTAATTTGATGTTCATAGTGCTTTACAGTTTACAAAGAGCTGTGACATCACCCAAGTCACAGACTATTACATCTGATTCTTGTAACTATTGGCTAACAGATTCTGCTTAGAGACTTATCATCATCCAGAATGTACAACTGAAGTGAACTTTAAAAGGCAAAATATCAATTAAAAAATGCACAGATAAGCTTGAGCTCAAAACTGAGAGAAAGAATCTAGACCCCCTTAAGAAAGTGGTAGAGCCGAGCAGCAATGCGATTTGCACACAGATTCTTGAGCCCAGGTTTATAAATCCACTGGAAGCACAACCTTCTTTCCATTGTCTATGATCAGAATTGGTGAAAGGGTCTCTGTTTACTGAATTACCACTCAGAACACTATGCAAAAAGACACTACATCATTCTCTTTTTAAACTTACCAAATCTCCCTTTGTCCAAATCCTATTTACTTCCAAGGCTCAACCCAAATATCTTTTCCTAAAAGGATTTCCACCTTCTCTAAACTCCCAAAGAAACATCCAGTTGCATAGTTCAG